CTCATTTTGACTGGCTCACTAGTACATATATCCAACAAACTGTAACATAGTATCCTCAGTATCCTTCTTTGGAACAACGTTTCTGTTGCTTCAAGTCTTTTCTTCATCTTTAGGGAGATTGTTCAACATTCACTGCCATATACTTAACATTTCAGCTCTTTTTTTCTTTGTTTCCAACGAAGACGTACATATTGATGACCAGGGAAGTTAAATACATCACTGCCAATCAAATAATTTTGATCGATAACTGATTTAATTTAAGATAAAATTGCATGTCGCAAAATCCAGTTTATCGTTGTGTTATCGTATTTTTTGTTCGTATTACGACTTGAGCATAATACATCAGATTTCTGAACCTAAAAACAGGGCATAAAATACTTCCTTGAGCAATAAAAAAATGTTATACAGTTATCTTTATATAAATTCTTCTTAAAAACTTGTCCCGTATTATCCATTACAATATTCATGTCGTATATATATTTCACTAAAATATTTAATTTTTCATGAAATTAATGAATAGAAATGAACCGAATACCTAGCTATTCCATGTTTCTTCTCCCAATTTCTGTTTCAAAACTAATTTTCTGGGAAAGGTACGTTGTGCTAACATGACATCTTGTGTATTATTTTTATTAATTTTTAAATCAACTTCGGTGAATTTCGTGTCTTTGAAACAAAAGACATTCAATTACACTGATTCCCAAAGAAGAAATATTGCCGACATATCAAACAGCTTTTGTAAACAATTGTTAGAACCCCTGCCTACATTGTGTTGAGTGTATTTGTAATCTTGTTTCAAATAAGAGGTTTTTTAAGCTGTGTAAAAATTTCTGAAAACGTGTACTTGTGTATAACACGCACCCCTTTTCTTGTCTTTAATTTTTTTCCAAGAATTTTTCGTCTTATGCTGAAAAGAATACGATATAAACAGTTACATAGGAAGGTGAAAAGTTCATCATCTATGAAGGAGTGATGCGAGAGCAATCAAGCAAGTTTCTATTTGCTTTTGAAGCAATTTTTTCTCGTTCATATCCGAAACGCAAACAAAACAATTTCTGGGGCACAGGTTCCGAATCCTATCGCAGGGCGCATTTTCTTTCATGTTTCCTGAACTGAAGAGGCCGGTAAACGAAAATATAATACTGTTTAAAATAAACGGAGCGTCAACTCAAATCCGGGTAGGAACAGTGATATAGACTGAACGCTGGTCAACCGACACACATTCCCAAGTCGTTTAACACACTTCTGTTGAAAACGAATCCGTTCCCTATATTGTTTTTTATGTCATTTTATCGCACAAACACACACACACACACACACACATATATATATATATATATATATATATATATATATATATATATATATATATATATATTATATATATATATATATATATATATATATATATATATATATATATATATATATATATATATATATATATATATATATATACCAACATTATATACCAACCTCTTGATAAACATGCATGAGTTGTTCTCAAATTTAAAAGCCTTGATAAGTCAATGACATCCTCGTTTTTTGTATATAAACACGTGCAACAAAATAAATCCTACATTGCCTTGATAAAGTCGCCTAGGGACAAAACACATTGACTAAGAATTGTTTTAACTATTGTCGGTTTTATTCATTTTGTTCCTCAACAGATACACTCTATGATTTACACACACACATCATTTACACACACATATATATATATATATATATATATATATATACACATATATATATTTGATAAAATGAAATAAAGAACAAATTATATATATATATGTATATATATACACACACACACACACACATATATATATATATATATATATATATATATATATATATATATATGATAAAATGAAATAAAGAACAAAATAGGAAACGAATCTTAATCTAACATGTTTCAACTTTATTAAGGCTTCATCAGAGTTCGAGAAGAGAACTGAAGGAGCAAAGAGACAAAATACTGGAATGTTATGATTTTTGGTAGTCCTCATTGGTCAGACACGCGTCACGTGTATAAACGCAATAGATTATATATAAATATGTGTGAGGATCATTTACGATGTTAAATTGTGTGATAACGTAAGAGTGTGTAAATAAAGAAATGCTTGTGTGCGTAGGTGTATGTATGACACTAACGTTAATTCTTTTAAGTGTATAAGTGTATATTAGATAAGTCTACAGATGCCACTCTCGTATTTTCTCGGTGAAATATAACCTGTTGCAAAATAATTTTGTATTTGGTTTGATTTTTATATTCTCGTTTATGTGTGTGTGTCTGTGTGTATGTGTGTGTCTGTCTGTCTGTCTGTCCAATGAGAACTACCAAAATGATAATATTCCAGTAGTCTGGTTTCGTTTCCTACTTTGTTCATTATTTCATTTTATTATATTGTTGGATCCCCGTCCATGTCAGATATACATTTGATCTTCACATATGTCTGTGTCTGTGTGTGTGTGTGTGTATGCGCGCGCGCGCCATGTATAAATATTCCTATACATTGCGCAAAAAATAAAAATAACTATGACATTTCATTTTAACAGATATATTTACCGAAATTACACAAATACTAAAGATTAAATTAATTCAACAAAATAGACATTGACTTGAACGAAGGCTCCCAGGCGACTTCGGAATCTCCTGCATCTCTTCTGAGCGGTCTCCTTGTTTAAGTTGTTGAATGCTGCCATAATTCTTGCCTTCAGTTCATCTTTGGCGTTATATGGAGTTTTGTTGATCGCTCGCTCAACTGTGTCCCACAAGGGAGTCACAGCCTGGAGTGTTTAGATGGTGAGATATAAGAGGTGATGTGGTCGCAGTAATTGTCTGACGGCCATGAATGGGTTCTCCTGCTTGTGTAGCGGGGTGGAAAGTGCTGTTGCTAGATATAGGGTCTTCCAGCAGCCACCCTCTTGATTCTGAGTAGCAGTATTGCTCAAGGCACTTGATGAACACTTCCTGAGTCTGAGACCTCATGGGAAAATAGAGACTTTACTTCATCATCATTAAGTGATTACTCCAAACACCTTCGTAATCACCAATAGACTGATTCAACTCGTGCCGAATTCTCTGCACTGTTCTCAGACTGACGCCCAAATACATTGAAATTTTCGCATTGGAGCATCCGACGTGAATGCCAAGCAGTAGAGTATATCATTTCTGGCGGTGTGAATTGCGTCGTGTTGCTCTTATTCTCACAGAAGGTGACGGACTTGCCTTACTGTGCAGTCGAGAAAATCAACAACAAACAACGCGCATGCGCAAAATTAAAAATATAATACAATTTTCTATTGGACCTATATATATATATATATATATATATATATATATATATATATATATATATATATATATATAGGGTGCAATAGATAAATTATATTATATTTAATATACACACACATATATATATATATATATATATATATATATATATATATATATAAACAGATCATAACCCCAAACACATACACACAAAATGGCTGAATACACTAGTTGAATCACACGCACACACAAGTATCTATGGAGAACGGATATATATATATATATATATATATATATATATATATATATATATATATATATATATACTAATTAATTATAATAAAACAATATATTTGTATGGAGAAGGAATATTTATACACATACTAACAAAAACTCACACGCACACACAATAGAGAAAATAGAGATAGGGGCCATAAAATGATAAGAACACAGACTTCCATCCTTCATCCTTTCTCTGACCAATCTTAATTGGAATATTTTCGCCACAAGTACCCCAAAATTTCATTACTACTACACACAGAAGACCATGGTTAAACATAGGAAAACATAAGGAAAATCAATTCCTTTAAATAATATGTGGAAATAACCACTATTTGCCTGATGAAAGCCGTTGTTGAAGAGGTTCGATTTTCTTTATTTTTACTGGACTTCATTGACATTTTGAAAAATATCTATTTATTTATCTACCTATCTAATTCTGTAGACACCTACCCACACACATACGCACACAAACCACACCTACATACACACACACATGTATATATATATATATATATATATATATATATATATATATATATATATATAACAAACATCGAATGTCTATTATGTGTTATCATGAGCCTTTCCAAACGTCGTATAATGGCTTTAGATTGTGCTATTCCTCGACCGTTATCGTCGCATAGCAAACTTTTATGCAAACAAAACAGGATGTCATCTTTGACGGTGAACATCTCTGTTGTAATGTCTATATAACCATTCTGATGATGGCCCATGGGAGCCGAAAGCTTAGATCGACGACAACCATATAATAATGAAAAATCCAAATGTTGGACAGTGTTTTTCTTTATTTTCTCTTGAAACTAAAACCATTATACAACGCTTCATAATAGACATTCGTTGTCTGTTTATATTAAAGAACATATATATATATATATATATATATATATATATACATATATATATATATATATATATATATATATATATATATATATATATATATATATATATTCTTTGTGTGTTGTGTCCTTTCAGGACTTATGCTATCATGGAACACCACAACTGGAGGTGGGATTGAGTTGACTGACGCGGTGAAGAGCGTGAAAATTTGAGGTAAGTATTTTTTTAGGCTTTTGAGAATACAATTCTTTTGAAATTGTACAGCGGGCACCATAGCGGATTAAAAAAACAAAAAAAGCAAAGAAAAGAACAGAAAACAGTGGAGTTAAGTGAAATATCTCGGTCGGCTTTCGCGGGCTCAAGTACCGACATACTAAAGAAGATTAAGCAATTAACGAATGGATTATATTCATCTTGCATGTCTATGTAAAAATGTGAAAAAAATTACATGTATCACACACACACGCACACACACACGCACGCACACACACACACACACACACACACGAGCGCGCATTTGCGTTCTCACATGCACACCCACACGCATGCACACGCCCCGATATATATGTAACTCTTTCTATCGACATAGATAGATAGATAGATAGATAGATAGATAGATAGATAGATATGAACAGACTGAGATAGATCGATCTAAACAGGCTGAGATCGATAAATTTGAAGAGGCTGAGATAGATAGATAGATAGATAGATAGATAGATAGATCTAAAGATGCTGAGATAGAGAGATAAATCTGAAGAGGCTGATAGATAGATAGATAGATAGATAGATAGATAGATAGATAGATATGAACAGACTGAGATAGATCGATCTGAACAGGCTGAGATCGATAAATTTGAAGAGGCTGAAATAGATAGATAGATAGATAGATAGATAGATAGATAGATAGATCTGAAGAGGCTGATAGATAGATAGATAGATAGATAGATAGATAGATAGATAGATAGATATGAACAACTGAGATAGATCGATCTGAACAGGCTGAGATCGATAAATCTAAACAGGCTGCGATAGATAGATAGATAGATAGATAGTAATTATATACGGAAATATTATTTGCCTACCGATATAGAGTTTTGTCAACTTTCCTTGAGTAAAGACAAGTTCGAAACGGTGTAAGGAATGAATTGACTTCGTTATATAAATATCTGTCGATATTACAGCAGTTATGTGTGTATAATACGCGCTTACTTTCCAGGTTTTTAACGTACTTCTTACGAATGCGTATTTTGTCGACTGTCCAAAATAACTACTGGGTAACTTATTTTATGTACCGTTTCCCTCCAGGACGTGGGTGATCATTGCTCTCTATTAACTCTGACTTTGGCAGTTCTTTCCTTTGTCTTTTTCCATCCTTTCCACTCACCGTTCTGATATCCATTCACATAACCGCGTCGGGTAGATAGCCCACTGCCTCTTTCAGTCCCTTTTATCTTTTGAGTTTCAAATTTATCCAGCTGTTTCTTTAATTCAAATGCTTCGCTAACGGTTTTACCCCCATCTCCGGGTACTTCAGGACATTCACTAGTCTCTGTTAAACTGACACCAAACCAAAGACATTTTCTTATATGCCACTAGCAGTAGCGCCCGGCGTTGCCCAGAGATGTAACAGTAAGAGATAGATCAAGTATCGACCATCATAAAGACTGAAAAATAAAATTGACAAAGATTATTGTTTAAGGTTGACGGACACGCATGTCTTAATTAGTGTTTTTTTTTTTTTTTACGAATTGGTCAAACTCAAACAAAAACATTGTTTTCAATCGTTATCAGTCTACCGATTGAATAGAATTTTATTATAAACAATTGTCTTGTAAATGGAATTTTAAAAGCATTCTGAATGTAAAAATAAAGAAAAAAGTGTGCAAGACAATAAGAAACACTACCTGCCAAAAAAAAAGTGAAGTTTTGTTGAAATCGGTTGAAAAATGTAGGAAATCCGATCCCATATATAAACGAACACACACACACACACACACACACACACACAAACAACCTGGGTTTTATAATAAGTATAACTCGATATGAGTTGTCCCGCTTTCATTCTCACGATGCCTCTTAATTGTGTTTTCGCATCGATTTCGTGCAAAAACAAATGTGTTTTTCCAATTTTGGGCGCTGTCAGAACCACTGCAAGGTAATTTTACGTAGTCCTGTGAAGTTTTGTTGAAATCGGTTGAAAAATGTAGGAAATCCGACCCAATATATAAACGTACACACACACACACACACACACACACACACACACACACACACACACACACACACACACAACCTGGGTTTTATAATAAGTATGATTCTATAGAATGATTTTTCGGTATGCAAAAGCAGACTGGAACAGCTATAATATATTCTTACATATCGGAAGCATCTTTTAACTTTCTTCAAACATACTGCATCCAAAATTGCTACCCTCGTCTCAGAATTAATCTTTTCTGGAGTGGAGATTATTTTTACCCCAGAAAAAAACTCCAGCAATAGCTGAACAGCCAGACATGGTCCACCCCTGAATGCCCTGCAGCTATAGATTAACGTAACCATGACTACAATATCTATCACACGGATATTTACCGCCTTCAGAATTGCCCGCAATTATAACAAGAGAGTTTTAGAAAATGCAAACAAATTGGATTCCGGAAGTTCTGAAAGATCTTCAATCAATTATTGAATAGAGACAAAACGTCAGTGACTACTATTATAAATGGCTCTCAGCTTATCTATCCCTCGTCAAATAAGGCGAATATCTTTCCCTCAATCTTTACCTCTAACTCAACGTTAGAGGACAAAGTCCATCCCCTTCCCGACTTCTCCCGTCTCACTGAGCACGATCTCGGTAATATTTTTATTACAGGCCGGAAAGTCTCAAAATTTATCAAAATGTTGAACCTAAGAAGGCCACTGGTCCAGACAAAATACCAATAGTTATCCTTATGAATATTAACGAAATTATTTAACCGTTGCATGAAGGATAAATTCTTCCAAAGTCTGTGTATGCCCGATTTTCAAGAATGCGAGTGAGCGCTCATCCGCTTCACAGTATAAACCCATGAGTGTCATTAGCAAATATTTGTAACCATAATCAACAAAAAGGTTGTTGATCACCTCAATAGAAACTACTTCTTGAGCGACAAACAACATGGGTTTCCATCAGTCCGGTCCACTGCTGATGTTCTACCTGCCATTATTCACAAAATTAGAAAATTAAGGAGGATCGTATCATATACTTCAAAGGCCTTTGACAAGGTGAGGAATAAGGGGTTACAGGCTTTCTAGCTATAGAATCACTAGAAGAGTCTTTTCAGTTAGAAATTCCTTCCTAAAAGGTAGGTTCTTGAAGGTAGTTAATGGCCAGTTCTCCGATGCCAAAGCGATCAACGCGGGCGCCTCCCAAAGTTCGCTTCTCGGTCCAACATTACTTTTACTTTACGTAAATGATCTGCATAAGAGTATACATCGATCATTTGTGAATATGTGTACTGATCATACTTATACATATGAGTGCACCTTCAAATGATCTTTCCTCTGACCTAACCCTAGCAGCTCAGTGGGGGTAAAAATAGGCTGGTCACATTCAATGTCTTGAAAGCATAACGTTGCATCATCGCCGTGCGGACCTAGAACTTTCACCAATCGCAATGAGCAAATTTTCCTCCATCCCTTGAGCGCTTATTGGGACTTGACCTCAACCCAAACCTCAAGTGGAACTCGGAAATACTATCCGTCGCTCAAGAATCTGGAAAAATGGCTGGTTCCCTGTGCCACTCCAATAAGTAATTGAATCCTCTATTTTTACAAGCGCCAGATCAGGCCGAAAATCACAGTTGCCATATATGGACAGAAACTGCACAGTTTTCACTTTCCAGTCTCGATAGTCCAAAAGCGTCTCCTCATCATTGTGGGTGACAAATAAATTTTCACCCTACAGACCCGTTCTAACAGATGAGATGGCTCAAGCCTGTACCACTTCATTAAATACCTGACTCCACATGCTAATTTCTATCCTTCCAAGAATCAGATCAGGCCCCAAATGGAGTGCTGTTGCTATATATGAACAGGAGCTGCACATTCTTCAATTTCCACTCTCGATAGAGTCCAAAAATTGTATCCGCGTCCTTATGGGTGATGAATTAGATTCCACCCTACAAAACCCTTTCTCACAGACAAGACGTCGTAAGCCTCACGCTGCCCTATTGTTATTTCCATGAAAAGTGTTCAGATGAACTACACTCTTTAGTTCCACCAGTTCCAACCTTCACGGGTAAGACCCATTATGCCATGCACATTGTAGCGAACCAGCTTCATTCCCTTCATATTCCATTGGTGATATGTAAGTTCTACTCGAGCAGCTTCTTCCTACGAACCGCTGCTTTGTGCATGCTTCCCTGATCACTACAATCTTAACCTGTTCAAGTCTAGATGCTAACCGGTGTCTTTCCCTACGTATATAGGCTTAAACTATGCCACTTACTCTGTAAGTGTCTCTCAGGCCTTGCACAAAGTGAATAGTACCATAAAAGGAATAACAAAACACTGCATTTTCTTGGAAAAAATTGTTCACGTAGATATCAAGTACGTTTTAGCATGTATCACTGATGTCTATTTTCAAAGAGAGACCCTGTGACAGTTACATATCCGTTGTCAGCGTAATAGATGGCAGGATTTTGTTTGATTCTTTTACATGCCGAGCACGGACGTAGTTGTAATATCTAGCTCTGTTTCACGGCACGGCCCACGCGAACATGTTTTTTTTTTTTTAATATATTTTTAAGCAATTCACCCCAAGCAAGGCGGGAGTGCCACAAGTACGCAAGGGGTTATAGAGAGGAGAAAAAGACTGGGTATAGTCGGGGGTGGGATTGAGGAAAGGATAAAAAGAAGAACGGGGGTAAAGGCAAGAGAAGATGTCGATTGACATTACATTTAATTTTTTGAAGATTACAGTAAGTAAAGCAAGTAAGAGGAAGAGAGTTCCACTGTCTGGAAGTGCGAGAGAAGAAGCTGTTGGAGTAGAAGAGGCGGTTACAGTTAACTGCTTCGACAGTAAAAGGGTGGGACAGAGGTGCCAACCTAGTAGCACGCTTAAATTCATGCAGTCGGGGCAATAGTGAAAATAACTCGTCAGGGCAGATGCCATGAAAATATTTATAGAAAAGCCAGAGGGAAGCCACATCACCTTTGTGAGAAAGTGACTGCAGTCGAGACCCCAATATCCGTCTTCAGATTTTGTCGTGAACCTCAAGATGATCAGTGGGGTCACCAGATCATATATGGAAACTGTATTCCATGTATGGTTGGGAAGGATGGAATCAGACGAGTAAAACCTTCTGGCGCGACACAGAGAACCAACTTTCCTTGCAGTAGATATAGCAATTGATTAAATGTAGTTGTTCCACCTCAGGTCAGTGGAAAACGTGAGACAAAGAAGGCGCAGAGTTGAGCATCAACCATGCTGATAAGAGGAAGGGACATTTCTCTGTGGTGAGTAAATGAAGAGCAGTTTTGTTTTGAATGCATTAAAATTCACAAGCCATTTCCTGACCCACAGATTGGAGGTCGTTTTCGAGTCCAACGGCCAGGTTAACTTTGTCAGCAATGCCGGATTTACTAGTGAGACAGGAGCAAATGATAGAGTCGTCTGCATGGATGCTGACTTGAGAACTGATGACGTCAGGAAGATAATTAATGAAGATGAGAAACAGTGTAGGACCAAGGATGGAACCTTAACGAACACCAGCATTCGTATAGAAAGAATTGGAAGAGAACACTTTCTGAACAACCTTCATTTCCCTGTTAAACAGGAATTATTAGATTAAATCAAATAAACGTCCTGTAATACTGTATCCCTGAGGCTTACTTTAAGGCAACATGCCAAACCCTGTCAAACGCCTTCGATATATCTAGAGTAACAGCTCGAGTTTCGCCGTTATTATCAACAGCATGGTGTACATATTCAGATATGGCCGTAAGCACATCAGCGGTAGACCGCACAAAGCGGAAACCATATTGTTTGTCAGATAGGGGATCATGGGATATAAGGTGTTTAACCACTTAGGCGTTGATTAAATCTCGAAGACTTTGCCGAATAATGGTATGAGACTGATGGGATGGCAGTTAGATCGGTCAGAAGGGGCTCCAGAGTTCTTAAAGCCCAGGACGACAGAGGAGGACTTCCAACAGCTTGGAAAGCAAGAATAGGCGAGGCAAAAGTTCGGTGAGGCACATTTCTTTAGGACTACGGCTGCTATCCCGTCACCATCACTTACTTTATGAGAGCCTAATTTGAAGATGATGTCTAATACCATCGACGGGTTTATGCACATCTCACTCACCATAGCTTCAGTTTTAGGCGGGAAATCAGATAAGGGTACCCCGGATAAGTTGAGTTGGATGAGAATTTCCGAGCAAAGCATTCAGACTTATCAGCTGTTAAGACTTCGGATTGATTGAACAGAGGAGGGGGCGTTGAGGATTTTCTGTAGTTCAGCACACTCTTGCAGAGCCGCCAATAATCTTTAGAAGCAAACTTGTGAGATGCAATACGTTGCTTCATCCTATCAGCAAACAGAAATTTTTGCTTCATTGAGGACACACTTGCACTCATTACGAGCAGATACAAATAGGCGTCTGTTGCAATCAGATATGTCGCTTCGGTACATACGGAAGAATCGATTCCTATAGGCTATAGCGACAGAAAAAGCAGGTGAGAACCAAGGAGATGACTTGGTATTTTCTTGGTGGAATGAAAGCCTCGATACCGGCTTTTATCCAGGAAGATACCTCAGACGAACATTTTTATACGGGATGATTAACAACCACATTCCAAGTGTCGTCGCGAAGGAAATCATGGAACGAGTCCCAGGCTGCGCGTTGATAACAGAAAGATATTCTGTTAGGAGGTTCGTGGCTAGAGGAAGAATAGAAGGAGATGTTAACAGACACCACCGCATGATCAGAACTGCCAAGAAGGTAGAGCTGCGTAGCGCGACCAGTATCAGGGATGGAGGTAAAACAGAGATCGAGAAGGGAAGCGTTACCGTCCGGGTTACTGGGGAAACACGCAGGAAATTCAACCACTTGCGTGAAGGATTGAGTGGTTGAAAAGTTAAGGGTGCCAGTGAGGTCAGTCACAGAGTGTTTTATACCACATGGTATGGTGGGTGTTATAGTCGCCGAACACGAATGTTTGCAAACGGATGTAGAGAGATGGCTTTGTCTATATTTTTAAGTACACAACAGTCTTGAGAAGAACGATAGAGAAAGAAAATATAGCTTACTGAATTGAGAAGACATGGACGGAGACACATATAGGAATAGTCTAGAGATTCCAAAGTTTATTTTAGCCGCAAATTGGTTGCATTTTTTATGTGAAAATGTCCGCCGTTTTTCTCTCAAAAGTGCGTAAAATTTGCCTGTGATAAAGGTAGCGGCCTGTCGAGTCAAAATTCAGTCCTTTGGTGGTGAGACTGGAGTAACATCTCCTGGGTGCAGGCATGGACGATGGTATATGGAAGACTTGCGCTACCCAGTCTAAACCCCCCATAACTCTCGGCCTTAGCGACAACATGTAAAGGAATACAGGGAATTACATTTGTGGGCGGCTTGGCTGAAGGAGTTGCCGGAAATTTGTCAGTGTTGATAGCTAACCGCCTTCGGGGCTCCACTCCAGGTTTTCTGTCTGGATTTACTTCCATAGTCTTCTCCGACTTTTGAATAAGAGCGCAGTTTTTTCCTTCCTCTTCAAGGTCCTTCCTCTTCAAGGTCTGTCGGGCTCCATCTACCTGAAGCAGTTGATTATAAGGCGCCTGTAGCAAGCCTTCACCTCTTCCACGGCTTAGAGGTGATTTTGTTGTCTATTTGAGGCGCATGCTACGGAAGCATTTTACAGAGAGGGAAAGCTTGTTCCCACTATCACCACCATCAATGATAACCTTCGGAACATATATAATGTACTTATGTACGTATTATATACAGTACATGTTGTAGTTGATGCGAACACTATAAAAAATGAAGAAATGATAAATTTTGTTTTAATTTGGCTACTAAAAATGCTAAAAGGGCAGTGCCTATTAGACAAGAATGGAGAGATTTTTTTTTCTTCTTCCAAAAAATTCATAGCCAGAGTTTAGGAATGTGTATTATATACGTGTGCGTATTGTACACGAGCAATTACAGTAACCTAATAGTGATTGGTAAAATCACATCACTCTCGCGGTCTATTGATATATTCGGGCTAATACTCTAGTGACTAATAGCTACACGGTGTTTTATTATTAAATGACTATATACGGATAAAATAGCATATTGGCTAAACCAAGAAACAGACTGAGATAGATAGATAGATAGATAGATAGATAGATAATAGATAGATAGATAGATAGATAGGAACTAGTTTAGATAAATCTGAGATAGATAGATAGATAGATAGGTCAAACATGCTTTGATAGATAGATAGATAGATAGATAGATAAATAGATAGATAGATTAGAACATGCTTAGATAGATAGATAGATAGATAGATAGATAGATAGATAGATAGATAGATAGATAGGAACTCGTTTAGATAACTCTGAGATAGATAGATAGATAGATAGATAGATAGATAGATAGATAGATAGATAGATGAATAGGTAAAACATTCTTTGATAGATAGATAGATAGATAGATAGTCTGATTTTTATTTGTTTATCCTTTTTGTAAGTTATATATGACACGAAGCGAAAACAAATTATTGAAATGGCGAAAGAATAAATAACGTATGCACATATATATATATATATATATATATATATATATATATATATATATATGTGTGTGTGTGTGTGTGTGTGTGTGTGTGTGTGTGTGTGTGTTTGCTCACTCGTTGCCTGAGGACAGCCACCAAACAGGCCTCGCTTGATGAGATGTATGCCCCTACCGATCCTCCAACCTTCGAAAGCTTCATGGTACCCACTCGATTTTTTATTGTCATTCAT